ATTGTAAAGGAATTTTATCCAATTTTTAGAAGAATAGACAAGCAAGGAACATGGGTATTTTCTACACCCTCTACATTAGTATTAGTAGTGAAATGTTCTGCTAAACAAAATAACTTGCATTCATTACCTTCTAAAATAAGTAAATTGAATAATGTTGGAATCATAAGATTGCCAAATACATGTATAGGATACTTACCTGGAATTATCCTCACTTCACATTTTCACATGAGATCAACTGTTCACACAGGAAGCAGTCCTAAGTTTATTATACCTCCGATTGAAACGATATTTTCCAAGATGGAATTAGAGAAGTTACAAGAGAGTATAAATACTATAGGGAATCCTGAGAGGAATAAAGAGAATTCTAAGAAGCAAAAAAATGATGATATTAAGGTAGCAGAAAAATCATACGAGCAAATGAAGAAAGATTTGGATAGATTATTGAAAGAAAATGAAGATCTTTTTATATCAAACACTCCAACCATTCCAATCACATACATATGGATTATCCTTGGAAGTATAGGAATATTAATTCTACTTATCTGCGCATTTTATATACTCAAGCATATTTGTTGGAAACGAAGATTTCAGAAGAGGATCAAGGAACTGTCACAACAAGACATTCCACTTCAAGAGATTCCTCAAGGAAATAATACAGAAGAAGAGGAACCGGAATTAGTCGAACCTGTTGGAAGATCAGCTGAACAAGCTTCAAGCTCAACTCAGACAAAGAAGCACTTTGTTCGAACATATCGACTTTAGTTCAACCGTATAGACTTTAATTCAAAATTGCTTTTTGAGATGATAANATGAAAAGGTTAGCTATAAGTTTATATTGATAATATTGCTTTGCATACTCTATAACAGGGATGGACAACACGTAGACAGCGGTCGACCGCAAAGGTTTTGAAAGTAGCCTACGAAGCTAAAGTTGAACAATTTGCTTTCACTTAAATTAATGTTTAAAAAATTTTGAACTACAAGGTGAACTTTGAACTTTTAGCAGGTGCTTTTTGAAACAAGAAGACATCACCTGATCTTCTAATATACCTGAGATTTGCTACAACTATAAGAAGTCAGCCAACAGAGGTGCTGCCACAAAGACTCTCACACTGGTGACGAACTATGTACACTTTTACCGTCAATTCCAGATGAAGGCACATGTGTTCATTGTGTTTATTTTAGTAATACTATTAATCTGATGAATTGTTTATTATATTTTCCATGTATTTCAATTTTGATTTTAATTTGCATTATTGTATATTTTTATGATTTTATTATTATGTATAACGCAATTTTGAGAAAGAGAGAGAGCAATTCGAACTTATGTATTGCAGTGAAAAATCACGCCTTCTTTAAATGTAGTGTGATTTTTGAAGATAAGGGAGTAATGTGAGATCCGAAAGGCCCCTGGGCCTCATTTATGAATTTTTATTAATATGTTTAAATTATCGACAAAATATTATTTCATTTTGTGTGAAAAAAAAACTGGTGTTTTAGACGTGGGAAAATAGATGACAGATGACACTTCCTTTCCACAGAAGAGAACATCCGCTGTTTTTCCCTTATCCGTTAAAAATCTCGCTCAGATGGGAAATGGTTACCCCTCATTCATCCCCCTTTCATCCGTTCTCACGAAAGAGTTACTGAACGATGATTGGACGAAATTTTGAGATAAAAGGAGAAATTAGTCAGAATTCGAGGAGTTCTCCGACCGATTGAAAGTGTCCAAACTCCACATACGTTTTCCTCCTGATGGCCAACGCCCATAACGGAGTCCGATAGACGAAGTCCGAGTCTACACTTAGAGGAAGTGATAATTTTATATTTTATGCACGAATTAATCTCCCATACGAAAGAAAGATGAACCCTATCTACAAGGTGTCCTATATCTACAGAAACGAAGACGACAACTAACAGGTCGTATGTTTAGAATCATTTTGTGAGCTCTCTCTCTCGAACGCGCATTAGCATAGATTTAGTCGTAGCCTCTAGTTTGTCGCTTAAATGGTTGTAATCGAATTTTTGTATTCGTTTGTTTAGTTTTATTAAATTATACTTATGTTTATTATACAGAATGTCTCCTCAATTCATTCCGAATCAGATCGTTATCGCGTGTTTGTCCGCGCCTCTATAAATTGACAAACTGGTGTCTGGAACCTGACGAAGGAAGAAGGTGAATTCGCCTTCACCAACTTCCGCTCTGAATTATAATATAACCGTAAAGCCCTCCACACTCGTTTCCCTACGACTGGGAAAGGCCGTTCTTTGGACGACTGAGAGCTGGTCTTATCGACTAGTGCCCGTAAGTGGCGTAGATTAAGACCTACGTCCTTGGCTACTCTCACAAAATCAAGGATTGATAGAAGTAGAAAATATGAATAAATCACCTTAGCTATGTTCTATTGATCCCAGATTTCATAATCCCTTTATTTTTTCTGCCATTGATTTTGTGTTTCTACATAATAGTACAAGTGTAGAATTATGCTAGCTTTATCCAACAACATATATGTACACAACACTATAACACACAACACTCTAACATCCAACACTATACAAAAATTAGTAAATTAAAAAAACAAAACAAACAAACAATAAAAAAAAAACATACAATTAGGCAGATTTAATAATATTTGTTGGTTTTAGCTTAAAAACAATAAAAATAAAAATCTAAAATTGTTGACTTCGTTTTTCTTCTTATCTACCTTTTATCAGAGACAAAAACTTACACTAAGGATACTCAGAACAGAAAAAAAATCATTTATTTTATATAAAATAATAAAGTTAATTATTTAGATATAGCAATAGCCCAATGCAATAATAATATTGATATTACTTCATATAAAAAGAATTGTAATATAAATAAAACTATAAATTATGAATCATATTGTCCTTTAGCAATAAAAAAAAAAACAAATTTTGTAATGGCCTTATCCAAGATTTGGACTAGAACAACTACATTGGAAGAAAGGATTAAAGAACAATATGAGTTGTTATACAGATTTTTATTAAATGGATACCCCTGCACTGGTCTATAGAATCCAATAAAAATAAATTTAACGTTGTATATTATTCTCATCTTTATATTTATGTGCCCTTTACTTATATTAAAGGTTTATTCAAAAAGTATAAAAATAAATTTAAAAATATTAGCTGCTAACTTAAAAAATAAAATTAAAACTAGCAAAACAAAAAATAAGAGAATTTTAGAAAAAGCAGTAGTAGTTTATAAATTAAGTTGCACACGTATAAATCCTGTTAATTATATAGGTGAAACAGGGAGACAGCTGAAAATTAGAATCAGTGAACATGAAGCAATGATTAGACTAAAATATAACCAATCTCCTTGGTTGTGAGGAATATGGATGTTCCATTGATAAAAATAATGTTAAAATCATCTATAAAGAAAATGACACATATTTGCATAAATTTAAAGAACATGTAGCAATTATATATGCAAATAATACTATTAATTTAAATAATGGTATGGAAATAGAGGGCACATGGTGGGATATCATCCAAGATAAAAGTTCGCGTAAAAATGAATGTTGGTTAATTGATGCTGTACAAACAGAAAATATGTAAAAAAAAAACATGAAAAGGTTAGCTATAAGTTTATATTGATAATATTGCTTTGCATACTCTATAACAGGGATGGACAACACGTAGACAGCGGTCGACCGGTCGACCGCAAAGGTTTTGAAAGTAGCCTACGAAGCTAAAGTTGAACAATTTGCTTTCACTTAAATTAATGTTTAAAAATCTTAATTTGATAACTTATTCTTACAATAATAGACTGTCTGTGCAATGTACCTATACTGTTTGTATTTATCCTGATGAACAATGCAAATTAATGTTAACGCATACGCACATAAAAATCCTAAAATTGTTTGCCCATATTCATAGTCACCTGAAGACTATATTTTATAAAAAAAAGTAGCCCCTAAGGGATAAAAGTTTGGCCACACCTGCTCTATAAGGTTGTATTTTTGTTTCATAGCCTGAAGAGAGGTGCCAATGTTTATAGAAAAGTCACCCGAAATGCACAGCTTGTTTTTTAAAAAATAAATGATTGTTTTCCTGTTCTGAACTTACACCAAGGATACCTTGGTGTAAGTTCTTTGTCTGTGATAAAAGGTGAATAAGGGGAAAAAACAAAACCAACAATTTTAGATTTTGTTTTATTGTTTTTAAAACTTGTTTTAAAGCTAAAATCAACAAATAGTAATTTTAACTTATTTCAGTATAACAAGTGATTGGATAAAGAGAACTTGTGAGAAGTAGCATGAGTTGATTCCTGATTAACTTGTCACACATCACTCACTCTCAAATATAGTTCAGTGTTTCATTATTGTTACTTAAATTACACTGGAAATGCCTTTCACTAAATTAAAGAGAATTGTCATAATGACAAATTACATTTAAAAAATTGTCAAAAAGTAAAGCACAGTTTATGTGAAAATATTCTGAATCCTCTATATCTACAAAGGCTTATCTTTACTAACATTTTAATAAATGGCCTTACATAAGATCTGTGAATAACAAAAAAGCATTATTTATCATAAACAAAACATTACCTAAAGAAAGAATTCAAAATAGAGTAATTTAAAATATATAATCTGGATCTCAAATTATTAGTGTCTTGCCCCTGTACATCATACTTTTCCTGACAGTAACAGAGTCATGCTGGTCATCCATTCAAGAGAAAATATTTGAACTGAAATTACATGACATCTGGTCTACACCAGAAGTTCATATATAGTTAATTGGGGCCTCCTGTCCCTAAGCTTTCCATATCTGGTCTTCACTTTCATCTATCTAACACCATTCTTGAAATTAGAGGAGGACAGACAGACAGTGGGAGTTTCTAGGTCTACAATTTTTTTCAAATTGTTGCCAAAGAAATGTCAGGTGTAATACCACATACATATTACACAAAACTCTCAAAACATTAGAGCTTCACAACAGCACATACATCACTCTACAAAAGACTATCATACTAGATATGTCACATAGTCAGGAAACTCTTAACAACAAATAAATACAAATACAGCATGTAAACAAAACATTTGTTTTCTGTAGTTATGCTTTGGTCCAGGATAGTACTGGGCACCAGTATATGTACTGTATAGAATACATTCCAACAATATTACACAATAATAATAAGAACTATATTATTATGGTGTTGATGAAATATATTCTGCTCAGTTAATATCTCAATGCAATGTCTCTAATGGGTTTTCTCTAATGAAATGTAACTTGTGTGCTGTTGTGAAGGTCTAATGTTTATAAAAAATATGCTCACTAATAATGCCAAACTTAGATTAAGAATAAACTACACTGTCTTTTGATGTTAAAAACTTCTCAGGTAGACAACTTTAATGCCAAAAGACAGTGTAGTTTATTCTTAAGCTCTAATGTTGCTAAACATTTATATACAGTACATGCTATGATGCCTGTGCAAGAAAGGATTATAGACACAATAAGTACCTTATTGTGCTATAATGCCAGATTTCCCACTACGCACATTAGACATGTGTCTAGGGACCCCAGGTCTTGTGGCCTTGAAAATGGAGAAAAAGCAATTTTACCATTGCAATTGTATATCATAATTTATAAATAATTCTGTAGCTACAATTAGATGTTATTAGTTTATAATAAATAAACAAATAACAACAATAAATAAATAAGAATAATCCAAAGTTATGTAGAAAGGCCCCAATTTTCTCTCACTAGAAGCCTGGAAGGTATTAATCTGCTACAAGATTTATCATAAATATTTTAAATTCTAAGCTAAAACTAAAATATTTAAATCAAAATCTAAAAATAATAAACAGAATGTTTAATTATTAACTGAAAAATCATTCAATTTTACTTTTTTGGGATAGGACAGCATGGATTGAAAGCTAGAGAATGAATCATTTTTAAGTGTCTATGAAACAGGAACAAATTACAACATGTGATCACTTTAGAAAGAAAACAATTTGAAACTATTGGAGTAACAGCCATTTAATGTGATTAGGTACTTTTTAGGATTTTACCATCCCATTTTCAGATCCTTTTGCATTGGATATTAATATTCTGATGATTGGAACAGAACAACTGAATGTGATTACAAACTTCTGAACTAAAGGCAAGCAAAAGCATGTTTGAAATTTTTAAAACAAATTCTATAAACTAAGTTGTACTTTAAAAAGAAATTGAAAATATCCAACATGTACAAGGCAATTGTAATAAACTTGAAATAATATATTATCTATAAATGTGCATTATATACAAGATAAAGAACAAAAATAAAAATCAATGTACTCCTAATATTTTATTTATTTTCATTTTGGTTTTGTTCTATATCTTTTATATAATGTTCATTTTATATATATTATTTCAAGTTTATTACAACAGCTTGAATATTGTCAATTTTTAAAAACTACCAGTTAGTTTATAAGATGTGCATTTTTAAAAATTTCAAACTTATGCTTTTGCTTGCCTTAGTTCAAAAGTTTGTAAGTACATGTAGTTGTTCTGTTCCAATCATCAGCATACTAACATTCAATGTAAAGGATCTGAGAATGGGATGATAAAATCCCAAAAAGCACTTAATCACATTAAATAGTTGTGATTCCTTCAATACTTTTATAGTTTTCTTTCTAAAGTTCTTTAATCCAGATGTAGAAATCTGGTAACCCTATCTGTACCAGGTGTCTTCCAGTTGACCCCCCTATAATACTGTTGATTTTTCCATTTTATAAGAATTCCATGTTGTACGAGTCATTTAGATTTTACAAATACATGAGCCGTTCACAGCCTGGCACATGTATTTGTAAAATCTAAGTGACTCGTACAACATGGAATTCATATAAAACGGAAAAATCAACAGTGTTATAGGAGGGTCGACTGTACATGTTCTTTATACTGCAAGTTATACATCATTGATGTACTTGTATATTTCAACAGAGCATTGGTGTCTTGTGCATATTTTCTTCCTCCTCTTTGATCCAACTAGTTTCACCTTTGTGTGACTGAATTGGACTAAAGAACAGATTAATTATCAGCAAGTTGTTTTTCTGTTGGCATGCCATTGTGGTATGATTGTGTGCTGGATTTGATTTATAGTTGTCTGTAGAAATGTTGTTTTCATTGCATACAAGTTTTGTAATGTTTGAGTCTTTGCAACTTGACTGCTAGTTTTGTTTGAAAATGCCAATTCCTATGCATGTGTATTGTGTGGTTCATACCATGTGTTTTAATTTTCCTGAACATTTTCCTAACATCTTTCATTAAGTTTGGTATGTTGTTCTTTTAGTGTATTGTATCAGCCTGTCTCACTGTTGTCTAATGGTATCTATTTGTGTTTCTAGTCTTCTTTTCCAAGCAGGCTTATGATCTGTATGTGTTTTGATTGTGTCTGTCCGTTGTTATTTTACTATTGTTATTACTATTATCATTAAATTAAAATATATTGTAATTAAATAGTTTAAGTTATAATTAAGAATTGGTTAATAAAACTTTATTGAACAAATAAATTGAACAATTTGACCTTCAATTGAAAATACAATGTGATAGAAAACAAATTATTTAACATAGTTACATTTTTAAGTATAATAATATTTAATAGATAAATTATAATAGAATGCAAATAAATTTCTTGCTTACCATTGTATCAGCATCTAAAAATACACATTTATTAAACTGAATTAATCTCCAACATTGGAGTTTAGTAAATGTCACACTTAGTTCGGGTCTCTCTAAAACAGATAGATGTGCATCATCTCCACTAGAAAGTAGATCTACTTCTCGTACTATATCAAATTTTAAGGAAAGACAAGATCTGAAAATTTTTTAATTTATAAATTATTTATAATATGATGATACAAAAGAAAATTATAATTATATTTATTTTAAAAATAAAAAAATGTTCTTAATTTAACTACATCTATACTTCACAAATACTGATTTCACTATAAGTGTATTGCTAGAATATAATATACAACTGGTGTTAACAAGAAGAGACTGTGATCAAGAGGACAGGATATATTAAATGTTAATAAATTTTTTATTTGTTTTTTTATTATTGTAATAGAGTTAGTTTTACTTTTTGAGCTAACTTTGCATCATATAATTAGATTCTTATTTATTAGTTAAATTAATACTTTAGTTATAACTAACTGTAATCAAAAAATATATAGCCTATACCTCATATGCATTGAAACACCTGCTGTTATCAGACATACTAAACTTCTTGATGTGTTTACTTGTTGAAGAGAATGGCCTAATACTAAAGCTCCAACTGCATAAGCATCATCAGTACAAAATGTTACAAATGCTTGATTTACAACTATAAAATAATATAAAAATAATATAATTTTCACAATATTCTACATATAAACGAATATCAAGTAAATTTGTAAAATCATATATATAAATTGAAAAAATCCTTTTTGAATTATAATCTTAAATTTATAATGTAATAAGTAAAATTTTCATTGTTTTATGGAAATTTAGTCTGTTGAATATTATACAGTATCAGTTTTACCAAATTTAACTATTTTAATAATAAAAACAACCTATTAAGTAAGTTATTATCATATTATATTCTTATCAAAGTAACACACACAATTAATTAGTATCTCTTCTATTAGAATATATTGGAACATTGTTTCACAAGCAAAACATAAAATTAAAAACTTGATACATTTTTAGTCTCAAAATTTTAAATATTTCATATTAGGATAATACGTTGGTAAAGATTTAAAAATTCTTTTCAAATATAAGATTTTTTCATAAAGAGATGACGTATTCCAGATTTTTCTTTCAGAAAATAACTTTAACCTTCACATTCTCTTATCAAGAAAAAAAATTTTCCCATTTAACTAAAATCCTAAATAAAATAACTTACATATTGCTTTTTAGAACTTAACAGCTTTATAAAGATTATAATATTAGATATATTTAATAGAATGAATACATTATTTGCATATTTAAGATTATTTAAAGAACATTAAATACCGTACTCATAATTAATGAATAAATGAATTATAAATTTATAACGATTTAAGATATAATTCATTTGTCGACGAATATACCTATTATAATTATCATGCGACCCAATATAATCCATTTTTTGAAAAAATGGATTATATTGGGTCACATGATATTTATAACAGTAGTAATTTAAAATTTTTGATGAAGGACATCTAGTGTCAAGTGAAGTATTAAATAATAATCCTGTAATAAATAACGTATATTAAAAACAAAAACAACAGTTCAATTAATGAATTAAAAGCCTATTTATATTAAATTTAATTCTTTTATTGCCTGTCAGCATGCAGTTAAAAGGATTTAATACCAAAGACCATATTTGATTATTTAACATCTCTAAAGTAAAAGATAACAAATCTTTATTGAAATTTATCTGCTTTAAATGAAAATCACATGATAGTATTTATAATTATCGTTTCTTATACTTTCCTCTGCTTAAATTTATCTTAAATTCACTGTATACATTTGGCGTAAGGCGCTGATCTTTTAAAGTTTTAAGTTCAAAATATCAACGCTATTTACCTTTCTCCATTCTAATTATTGGACGTCGTCTGTTTAACTGTTATTTACTGACCGATCCTCCATCTGGCGGTGAGATTTTTAATACATTAATATTAATTTTTGTTCCGTATATAATTACACTTTAAGTACAGTATAGAGAAATTTATAAAATTGACTGCGAAATCATATATTTAAATTAATTATAAAATCTTTTAATTGTGACTTAGACGTAGATCGTTTCAACTTAGAAAATAATGATCCATTTTTAATTACGTAATGTAGTGACATCCATTATTATTAATAATTCATTTCATGTAGTCAAGGTAATGGAATTTTATCAATGCTTTATAAAGATTATTTACATTAAAAAGTAAAATGTTCTTGAAATAAATTTTATATTAAATTGATGAATGAATCCGTAGTGTAACTATCAAGTTACATTAACGTATAAAAAATTTAGTGATGTAACGAATATTCGGTTACTATTCTGTATTCGGCCTATTTTTCGCTATTCGGCCGAATACCGAATACCTAGAAACAGGAGTAAGAAATAACAAAAACACAGTAAATTAATCATTTTGGTATCCCCGCGTTTTTTATGCAGCGAGTGTAGCGAAATGACGTCACGAGCAGTATTGGCCAATTAGAAACCAGTTTCAGTGTGTTCGCTGTAAAGCGCTTCTCGAGCGCTGCATAAAAAAACGCGAGGTACAGTAAAGCGTCGATTTTCCGAATCAATTGGGGACTGGGGTTGTTCGTATAACTGATAATTCGGATAACAGATTTATACAAGAAAAAATAGTTTAACGTATCCGATGTTAAAATTTTTATCCGTTGCGTGTCGCTTCTCGTTGAATTTTCGTCGATGTTAAGTCTANTTTTTTATTATTGTAATAGAGTTAGTTTTACTTTTTGAGCTAACTTTGCATCATATAATTAGATTCTTATTTATTAGTTAAATTAATACTTTAGTTATAACTAACTGTAATCAAAAAATATATAGCCTATACCTCATATGCATTGAAACACCTGCTGTTATCAGACATACTAAACTTCTTGATGTGTTTACTTGTTGAAGAGAATGGCCTAATACTAAAGCTCCAACTGCATAAGCATCATCAGTACAAAATGTTACAAATGCTTGATTTACAACTATAAAATAATATAAAAATAATATAATTTTCACAATATTCTACATATAAACGAATATCAAGTAAATTTGTAAAATCATATATATAAATTGAAAAAATCCTTTTTGAATTATAATCTTAAATTTATAATGTAATAAGTAAAATTTTCATTGTTTTATGGAAATTTAGTCTGTTGAATATTATACAGTATCAGTTTTACCAAATTTAACTATTTTAATAATAAAAACAACCTATTAAGTAAGTTATTATCATATTATATTCTTATCAAAGTAACACACACAATTAATTAGTATCTCTTCTATTAGAATATATTGGAACATTGTTTCACAAGCAAAACATAAAATTAAAAACTTGATACATTTTTAGTCTCAAAATTTTAAATATTTCATATTAGGATAATACGTTGGTAAAGATTTAAAAATTCTTTTCAAATATAAGATTTTTTCATAAAGAGATGACGTATTCCAGATTTTTCTTTCAGAAAATAACTTTAACCTTCACATTCTCTTATCAAGAAAAAAAATTTTCCCATTTAACTAAAATCCTAAATAAAATAACTTACATATTGCTTTTTAGAACTTAACAGCTTTATAAAGATTATAATATTAGATATATTTAATAGAATGAATACATTATTTGCATATTTAAGATTATTTAAAGAACATTAAATACCGTACTCATAATTAATGAATAAATGAATTATAAATTTATAACGATTTAAGATATAATTCATTTGTCGACGAATATACCTATTATAATTATCATGCGACCCAATATAATCCATTTTTTCAAAAAGTCAAAGCTGACACTC